TCGGCTAGACCGGGCTCGGTCCCGTGCCGGGCCAGCTGGTGCCCGGGCACGGCGCTGGGCACGGCTGGTGCGACCGGGCTCGGTCCCTGGTGCCGCTGGACTTGGCTAGGCGCGGACTGGCGCTGGTGGGCACGGCCAGGGGCTGCTGGCACGGCCCGAGCACGACTGGTGCCCCTCGGGTGCGTGTTGGGCACGGCCGAGGCTTGGCTGAAGCCCTGTCGTGCGGCTGGGCACGGACAGGTGCGGCTGGACTCGGGACAGACACGGACAGAGGCCACGCGGGCGCTGCCGGTCGTCCCCGGGGTTGCTGAGCACTCGGGCAGGCTGCTGGCCATGCCCCGAGGTCGACTAGGCGCGGACATGCGCGAACTGGGGCTGAGCGGGTGCTGCCGGGCAACCCTGGGCACGCGGGTGTGCTGCTGGGCACATCCCGGGCCAACTGCGTGCTCGGGCGTGGCACTGGCACGACCCGAGGCCACTGAACACTGCTCTGGACACACGGGTGCGCGACTGGGCACGACCCGAGGTCACTGGGCATGACACTGGACACCCGGTTGCGCGGCTGGTACGACCCGAGGTCGCTGGACACGGTACTGACCCCTCGGGTGTGCAGCTGGCACGACCCGAGGTTGACTCCGCATGGCACGCGAGGCCATGCGTGCACTGAGGCTGGGACAGCGCGGCCGGGCGCTGTCGGGGTGTTGGGCGCGACGGGCGCCGTGACCCCGGGTGCGACGCGGACAGGCGCTGCTGGCACGCTGTCGCGGACTCGGGTACCACGCGCACGCTGGCGCGGGTACGCACTGGCACTGGGGTCGGGCACTGCCGCACTATGTGCGCGGCCTGTGACCAAGGCCGGCCCTTGCCGGACCTCCGGCGACTATTTCCGGCAACATGCATGACCATACAACATAATATGATAAAATAAGCACAATTAACACACAAAACACTAGTGGACCCCGGGTCCACATGCATGCTACCCGGTAAGGCTTAAATGGCATGACCGAGTAGGTTAACTCCCGAACCAACATTTGAAAATTGAAAAACTACTTAGGGCCGAATGTTTAACATGATAAATTATTGCTATAGGGGCTAGAACTCATATCATATCTTGCATGCATGGTGATTGACCTCGGTGGCTCATTTTAACATAAATTCGAGCACGATTTGACTAAGGCAATGAACTCATTTAATTCTCAATTTTTTACAGCATCAATGGTATGATATTTGAGGGTGTTTAAACAAGAAATCTCGACTTAGGCATGCTTCCTACTCAAATTTCATTTTTAAGGTATTAATTTCATTAAATTCGGAAATTACATAATAATGCATGCATGGTTCGGTTTTAACTCATCAAAAATCTTAAAATATCATAAAATAATTAAGGAACTCATAAGTCACGAGCTAACCTTGGCTGAGAATGGAAAACGGATGTTAGGGCTTAAAAGGGTGTTGGTCACGGCCTTAGAGGTTGGCTTGGACTTAGGTTGTGTTTTGCTCGTGTCAAACACCTCCAAGAGACTTAGAAAAATATAAGGTACACTTATATAGTGCTAAGCCTCGAGAGATTATGGCTGTAGAGGGCTGGACCTCGCTACTCCTCTTCCCCGGGGTGCTGGGCGCGAGCAAAGGGGCTGGTTGCCTTAGATTCGGTTTTTCTCTCTACTCCTCACTATATGCTCGGGCTTCAAGTGATAAAAGGTCTTAAAAGGGACTGAGGAAGGGTCCTTAAGGGTGTGATTGTTTATCGATTCAACTAGTTTTTATTTGGTTTGTTTTTTAACTATAGTTAATTTTTAAAAAAGGTGGTATGGTTAGTTGTTAGTGAATATATTAAATAATATTTAAAAATAATAATTAAAGTTGATTTGATGTAAAGTAAGAGAAAAATGATTGGAAGTGATAGTTAGTTAAAATTATGTGAGTGGATGAATAGTGAATTAAAGTTGATGTGATGTGTAAAAATGATTGTTTGATATTATTTAATTATATTGATAATATTGAAGATAGTGGAGTTGAGTTAAAGTTGAGTTAAATTTGAGTTTTGATTAGTTTTTTTACTGTTCAAACCATATCCAATCGCCCCCTAAGTACTGGTTTGGGCGGAGATAGCTAGGTGACTTGGTGGGGGACAAATGAAGTGGGAATTCCATCTCATGGCATGGAATTTAGGTCCAAGACCTTGGGCATGCTTAAGGCCTGACTTTGCACGGTCTTTGAGCTTATTTTAGAGTATAAAAATCATGGTGGAGAGGTCAGGTCAGGTCTGGCACGAGGGTGGGGGGACAAGGGCTGCACAAGTGATTAAAAAAAATAAAAGATTCCTCATGCACTACTAATAAAATATTGTCCATGCTAGATGCCTTTGGCTAATCTTTTGTTAGGACAATTTAAGCTTAATTAGACCCTCATTAGGTCCTAATTAAACGCATGCATTGGGTCATGGAGGATTTGGGCCGGATATAAGGGTTTTGGGCTCAAAGTGTTGGGCTGGCAGGCTGCCCGCTGGGCTGGGCGCTGGGCCCTGGGCGCGGGGACGCGGGCTGGGCGCGAGGGCGCGGCCTGGGCTGCGCGGTCACGGGCTGTTCGCGGGAAAATGGTCTTGGGCCGAGTAAAATGGTTTGAAATGGCTCCCCAACACTTAGAAAAATTATGGGATATGATGCTAAGGACTTGGTAAGGTCTTGGGGCTCGGTTGGATGCTCGGGCGCGGCTAAGGCGCGAGCTCGGGGATCGGGCACGAGGCTCGACTAGGGCTCGATTAAAAATGATCGAAACTTGCCTTTGATATTTTAATTTACTTAGAAAAATATTCTAAGTATTAAAATATCAACTCTCAATTATGACTTAATTAGAAAATATACTCGGAACGACAACTAGGGTTTGTGTCCGGTAATTTCTCGAATTGACTTGCTATTATTTAATAACCCAAATTAATGGATTAATCTTAACTTATACTTGAGATAGAATTATTCAAAGAATAATTTATCATGTTTGAGCATTTAGCATAAATAATATAACTCGATAATTTCTGAAAATTACGGACTTCACTTATAGTCGAGTAGTGAAACCGTTCTGAATATCATTACTGTTTTGGGGCGTTACAGTACAATTACTTTGCAAAAAATAACAGAAGAATTTAGCTCGATATCAATATCCGTGATGAGAGTACATTGAAAAATTGTGCCTACCTAAGTTAGTAATGGGCTCTGCCGAACATGCGGATAGCCTGAAGTGAGAAAGGCGCTACGAATTGTCAGTGAGCTTGACGATGTCCAGAGTTTGTTTATTCCACTGAAAAATGAGGTGCTATCGTGGGTGCAAGGTTTGGGGTTTTTGACCTGCCATGGAAGCTTGTAGAGCCACTCAGGAGATAATAAAAGGTATCTGGTGGATGTCGAAAAAAGTTATACGTTGTTTTCCACTGGTGATGTTAAAGGGGTAGCACTTGAGGAATCAGGCGCCGTGGCGACCAGAAAGGTAGTAAGTACCTTTGTGGGGCTTTATCCAAAAGCAGTAAAAGCAGAAGTCAAGGTCTACCCTTCCAACCTAAGCTTGGCTTAAGATAGTAAACCCGACCAGGGTGCGGATGGTATTGGGATAAAAGTAGTTTAAAGGAAGGTGGTAGAGACGACTGAGCTCGATTAGGTCGTCCCTAATAGGTAATATTAGCCTAAATGAGGCTAGGTCAAAGAAAAATGAATAATATCCCGTGAGAGGCTGGTTAAAGGATTTCCTGACTTTTGGAACTTTGAAGTCCCAGTCACGAGGAAGCTCGATTTCATGGAGGAGATTAAAAATACTATCGTTTGAGTAAGAGGTAATAAGGTTTTGTTTGATTATCATCACCAACGGAGAGGTGACTTCGACCGTTTTGCCTTTGACCACAATTACTTGGTTCTTTCGGCGGTAAAAAAGAAGTAGAGCTAGAGGGAGTCTAGGGATTGAGAAGACGAGCTAAAAGACGAAGGATGGTCAGAGTTCGACATGGTCGTCAAGGTTCTATAAGAGGTGACTGAATAATTTTAAACTGTGGGAAACACTATAGTTTAATGTAAATTCCTTTTCTGATTTAGGACACAACTCGCATACAACCCATGACACCCCTACACACCGGTCGTGTATCAATGTCATAATTTATTTCGGTATGTGATCCGCTATGACTACAATAGGCATAAATCATGCAAGCTTTACTTAATTATTCTAACATTCTCAAGTTTATTGCTGGTAATCCCCCGCCTATCTCCAGGAAATAAAGAATCTGGCCAATATATATCATTTTTTCAGTACATCAAACATCACATATGTAATATGTTTATATGAAAATATCCCTATAAAATATATCCTATTCCAACTAAAAATCAAACAGTGAATTAACTTACGAGAGAAATTTCCAACGAAAAATTTTCCAAAGATAACACTTAAATATTATGTTGAAATTCCACCTGAATTTTGAAGATTCCAACAATTTATTATTATAGGAATGTCTAATGGAATATGTAATTTTAATTGGAATCGTAATCCCCATCGATAAATTAGACCTATGGAAATTGAAAAAATTACCACTGCAATCATCAAGTTTCAACAAATTGTTCCCACAAATATAATTCCAATACTGAAATTTTCCAACATATAACAATAGAATATCTGTGTAATCATCAAGTTTCAACAAATTGTTTCCACAAATATAATTCCAATACTGAAATTCCAACATATAACAATAGAATATCTGTGGAATTGCCACTGTAAGCTTGTTGGAATTTTCTATTTGAATTTTTTAATCACTTTCTTGTAATGATGGGTTAATTTGCATCTTCTTCAACTACTATGAAATAAACATTTGTACCAATGATTATTATTAGGTGGAACGACCAGGTAACCTAGTGCCTAGTTCGGGGATAAACACATACTACATGGGATATAATGAAATGCAAAACAATTTGAATATATAAATCAAAAGGTATTCACTTCCCTCATATATTTCTGTAACTGTGTTAAGTANAAAAAAAAAAAAAAAAACTACATATTTCTTTAAAAATGTATATGATGTGCTTCTTTTCTCTTCGCTGCTAAAAAATCACTGAAAAAAATAAATCACAACGGATGCATAAAGTGAGTAAGAAACTCCATGCAGAAAATATAATTCTTTTGTAATTCTCATTTCATTTATGTGGAGCACTCCATATTCTTCGTTGTTCTTCAAAGCTTCCTATTACAGCTGATTGTTTTGTGCATCCAAGTCTAGTTGCAAAAGTGCCATAATAGGCCTGAGGATCCAAATTCTCTAGTACTTTAACTGAAGTACCTATGTTTTGACCAATAATTACCCGTCCATCTTCAGACTCGATACCTGTTGCTAAGACCTCAATATTCTTTAGTGCGTAGCTTGTATTTAGCAATGCGTTACCACCACCTACGATTACTGCACCAAGAATCTCTCCCAAAAAGATATCCTGGATCAAAAAGCAAATGTAGAAAATTTTAAGCAAAAAGAGTGAATTTTTTTTTACAATCAACAGCAGATGAAGATTATGTTGCGACCCGTGATTATTTTACATACCATATGCTGATAGCTACTGTTAGCCTCTTTTAATTGATGCAATTTTGACAGCAAACGCCTGGCAAATAAAGCTTCCGGTGTTTTCTTCACAAGATAAAGACTCGCTAAGGCTTTATGGAATCCACAGACTTTACGTTGAACATTTAGTGGGATTAGGGTAATACTGTGGCCTGAACTGAAAACTGTCTTTGCAGCCAAAGGATCAAGAAACATGTTGAGCTCCGCATATCTGTTTGTAGGAATATTGATTGCATTGCCTTTATCCTTTTTATGCTTCACAATATGTCCTCCAACTACAATAATATCCTGCACCAATAAAATAAAAATCATGCAAAAAAGTAAATAAATTAATAAAAAAAAAAAAAAAACAAAAAAACTTAAGGAAACACCAAATTTTGTTTCAGAAATAAATCTAATTGTTTGCTGAACATGTTCGGGCACCTGAATAGCTGAGCATTTTTTATCCGAAAGAATAATTTGCGCCACAGTTGTTAATGGCCCATTTGTCAAGATAGTAATACTTGATCCTGAGTCGAGTGATTTTATAACCGATTGCCATACTTCAAGAGCCAGAGGCTGTCTGAGTTCTGGATGTTCAGTGTCTCGAGGAGCTCCAAATTTCTTAGAGTTCTCTGCTGTGTATCTACAACAAAACTAACAAGTCAAATTAAGAAGGAAAAAGGCATCAAAAATTCAAATTATGATGACACTAGCCAATAAAGTAAACAACTTTTGAAATTGACAAATTTGCAAATCTATCCATGTAACTTTAGCACAATAGCAAAATGAACATGCAAAATACACATTAGCATAATAGTTTGAAAACGACATACAATTCCGACGTTCAGTAACTGATTGAAAAGCAGGTGAACTTGGGTTCAAAACTTTTTTTTTTTCCCTTTTGCAGAAATCATTTTGTACGGTATGTTTTCCTACCATCCAAAGCGTCAAAAGGACTTAGGGGGTGCTTGTATACCAAATAATTCATTCGCATTTAACTTTAACTCAACCCCACTATCCTTAATATTATTCATATAATTAAATAATACAAACCAATCATTCATACACATCACATCAACTTTAATTCACTATTCATCCACTCACATAATTTTAACTAATCAATAATCATCACTTCACGACATATCTCTCCTACTTTTACATTTAATCAACTTTAATTTATTTTATTTTAAATATTATTTTAATATAAACTCAAAATACCACTAACAACTAACCATACCACATTTTTCAAAATTAACTCTGGTTAACTAAAAAAACTCATTTTGAACGGATTAATTTGTAAACAAGCACAATTTTGCAACTTCTATGGAAACTTGAATGGGGAAAAAATAAAGAAATGAACCTCCGAGGGCTTCGAGGCAAAACACGTGCGAGCCCATACAATGTGTCCGAGTCGAGAAATCCACCCGCGCCATGTGGGATGGCCCTATTGTACTTGCAGTCCCCAGTAGAAGGAAAATTAGGATTAGATTGGTTGAGTGCAAAGAAACCCCCAATACCAACTGGAATGTCATCACGCCCCATCATATGCAGCAAATCATAAACAATGTCAATTGCTGCCGCATTTGCCCATCCAGTTGTGGTCACTAATATTGCCTGAGATTGAAGCAGGGCATTCAGGTCAGATAGCAAAAATTAGTATGTCTTAGACATAAATAAGGAGTTAGGAATCGCAAATTTATCGAACGAATAAAACAAAATCATTAATGTGTCGTAAAAATTTGGAATTTACAGAGCTGCTTTTTTACCTTAAGATTTATTAATTCGACAGGTACTTTGAGGAGATAAAGGAGGGCTAAAAAATCCCCCGCACTCATATCCATGTCAAAAACGACATTCTTTCCAAGCCGTCTTCCACTAAAATCGGGGTTGTAGATGACTTCTTGGTAATGAGGAAATTGTGTCGTAAAATTGAACTTTCCTGTTTGCTTTTTGCGATTTAGAACCTGAGACGGTTACAATATATTTTAACCATGGAAAATAACATATATCAAAATAACATTCTTATTACCATTCAAAATTTTTACCCACGTCAAGAAAGCTTCTGAAGTACTCTCTGTTTAATGAACTGTTTTTCTCACGGTTAGGCTTTGCTTTGACCGCAACAAGAACACGCGCCCCTTCTGGACCAGTTACTTCTTGTGTATATCCATCCTAAATAAGTTGAACTCAATGTCAATAAAATATGATCTATGGGATATATGCTGAATGAAGATTAGCATTCATGACATAAAAAAAAATGGCAATAACCTTGCACCTGCCCTTCCCATTCTTGGTGATACAAAATGGATCTCTAAGTCTAGCATACACGTGGCCACTATGGACACCATTTTTCTTCAAGTTGAACTTTGGTTTCCAAAGGCCATCAAAGAACGGATTTGAGCCATCAGATATCCCATACGGCTTGTTTGAAGTAACAACTGTGATATTCATGTGCTCCATCTCGGCAAATTCATTCTCCCCATTTGAATTGTTTTCCTTCAGCATGATTGAAGTGGCAACCCCAGATAAAAATGAGTCCCACATGAAGTAACTCTGCACTATGAGAGAGTGGTTGATTAAGAAACTGTAGAAAGAGCTTTATGTGTTTTTAAAAGTCATACCAAAAGCATAATCAGTGCATTTCTTAAATCTAGTTGATATTTTCCAGCCGAAGATTGACAATCATTTTTCAACGTGTTTCCAAAGGCGTTTTCCGAGAGAAATCACTATGAGACAACCACTTTTTTCTTTTTAATTTTTATATGCACACACAGAGAATCAAGCTATTCACGGTAAGTAGTGAATGGTTTTCTGACTTAATTACCATGAAAAACTGATCATCGAACCATGTATCTCGAGCGATTTTCAAGGACCTGAAGCAGTATTGCGCCTCGTATGTGTGCTGATTCTTCTCGAATTCCTCGTAAAATTCGCTTGTGATAGGAATAGTGTTTGTGGCATCCAGTGGAACAAGAGTAACCGGGATTCCTGAATGAATTACCTGTTTCAAGAATGTTATGTTATATTCACGATGAAAACAAATTACACATGGAAAAATAAACCAAGACTTCTCAGAAATGTCAAGCATAATTACAAAAGAACACCCATATTTGAACAAATTATATGAGCTTTAGAATTTACAAATACATCCTTGAAATTGTATAACAATGTCGATAGAATAAGGTGACTTACTTTTTGAATAAAAAATGCAGAATTTCTCCTGACATGTCATATTATTCAAAAGCAAATGTTGAACCACTACTTAACTCATCTGGAAACTATAGTATTTTGCATTTTTGTCGTTTCAAATTTGACCTTCCTAACAGACCTTAACCTGTTAAGTCGACTAATAATAGTGTCTATTTAACACCTGAGAGTTTGGTGACTCTTTAGAAGATAATTGTTTTTTATTTATATATTCCTCAAGAGTTTGGGGAGGAGGGTAGTGATTTCATGAGACCTCTTCTTTTGCAAATTGAACTTTGGTCATTTTCGCTTTGCATTCTAAACTGATATCATTCCCAATCAACCTAAGAATTTTTTAAAACTCTGACCAGCTACCTACTGAACATTATACAATTTATTCGTCCAAGTCATGTGGACGTATCTTTCTAAAATATTCCGATTTTGGTCTGTAATATGTAGTGAAGTGAAAAAAAAAAAACCTTAAAAGTTCAGGTTGCTAGTAGTTTAACAAGAAAAGAAAAATTCATTTAGGCTATAAACAGTTGAAATTTTTTTTTTCCCTCAACTTTATTATAATAAATATTAAAAACAAATGCCATTTACTTGATAAGCAGCAAAAGGGTCTCCAAACATGTTGAACTCAGCATAAGGATTTGAAGTGTAGTCAGTGAATATATTGCCCCTGTTCCCACATTGTTGAGGCTGGCAAAATGAGCTCGAGTTTTTTGGACAGCAACCCGTGGGATTTTTGGATCTCACACCACCACCCATGATGTAAATGTGCTTGATGTTTTTCTTCAACTGGGGATTGGTCATTAGAAAAACTGCCAAATTTGTACTTGCCCCGATTATAAATACTGTGATGGGACTTGCAGTTATTTTGTCTACCATCACTTGCTGAGCTGTTGGCTGACGTGTAGGTGAATATCTCCTCTTTCCCTAGTTTATACAGTGATAAAATTTACCAAGAATTATTTGAGAATTTGGTAATGAAAGATCAATTTTGGGATTTTAATGCAGCACGAATGGTCCTTTCAGTAAGTGTTCTGCTATTTTTCTGGAAGATCGATTTAGATTTTTTAAGAGTGTTCGAAATCAGAAGTTGATAGTATTTTCAAATATAAGTGCAAAGAGAAGATATTTTAATTCTTTTCCCTCCTTTTGAGTAAAACAAATAATAGTAAGGAATGGTACTCACACACTTAAGGAGAAATTAAACCGGTCACTGAATAACATTTCTCTCAAGAGAATTTTTGGATGAGTAAATTGTAAAATCGTATTATTTATAACAAATAATATTCGAAATCATAACCGAATTAAATTATAAATTTGACGTTGAAGTGTAGTTGAAAGTTAAAAGCCAATGTCTACAAGTGTCAAAAGGTCGAGTTATATGCTAAAATCTGGCAATGACTATTTTTCCAGTATTTCGAAAAGATCCCTAGATATAATATCAAGAGCAGACATAAGGGTTCGGAATATCTAACTGTAAACAACTTTTACAATATTATAACGGTACAACTTAAAGGAAACAATGCCCTTAAGCTTTACTACAAGAAACATTTCATTGCTAATTACAGTAAAACACGAAACATATGAAAATGTACATATGTACCTGAGGAAGAAAACTTCTCCTGAAGCCATAATTTGTGTCGATGTCTAATCTTCCTCCAAATCCTACAGGAATAGCTTGTCTATATCTGCAATATCCTGCTGTACCATTGCCCTGCTCAAATGAGCCACAACCAAAATGACCAATATTATATTATTGCCACTATTAAACACTAAATTTGCAATTCGAATAAAAACTATTTTGACTAATGCAACCTGCTCGATTATAGGAAGGTACCCACCAACATTTGGCAAAATGGTACCATCTTCAAGAATACTGTCTTCACCTCCAACACCTACAGCAACATCATCCCGTCCCATCATGTAAAGAAGGTCGTATACATGATTTACAGCATGACCCGCATTTGTCCATGAATTTGAGTTTATAGTCACCGCCTGTACAAAGCCAACACAAAAATACCAGAAATTTCGTGTTAATACCTCAACTTGTGTGGCTCAATCAGTCTTTGTACTCACAATTCTAAAAACTCATCAAAGTTGATACTCAACAATAATTAGTAGACACTCAGTATGATGAACAAAAAAAAATGCATTGAAAAGATCTGTCCAATAACTTTTTTTTTGTTAAAAAAAAAAAAAAAAAAATAGNAAAAAAAAAAAAAAAAATGATTCAAATTTGAAGAAAGGCGCACGCGCAAGTTGCGGCGACATAACCCTCTTCTCCGGCCATCCTATCCAATGCCGAGTGAGGCGAGTCTCCAGCTTGTTCGTCGAAATCAATTTTCAATTTCATGATTTGGGATCTTCCGAGTTCATTCGACATTCGAGCATCCCCGATTAAAGGCTTAGGTTACTTTTTTATTGTTACATTTTGATTTTACTTATTTTTGTGTCATTTTACTTTAGTGCTTCTAAGCATCTCCAATGTAGGGATGTCAATGTTAAATGTTCATGCCCAGGTGTTTGTACATAATTGGATAACAGATCCCCTAAATATCACCGTTGACAGTAGAAATACCAACAGCCAATTATTTCGTCCAATGCACCACTTTCTTTCATACTAGATTCTGTTTGAGTAGCGGATAATGATAAACATATCCTTTGGAACTTGTTATTCTACATAAATACACTGGTTGAGAATGTTAAATGATAACCCTGGTATTAAAAAAATAATTAAATAAATACAACTTAGTTTAATTTTTAATATATAAAAATTGTAATACATTCAATGTTATTTTTATGTACATGTAAGTAAATACAAAATGGTTTAATCTTTGAAATATAAAAATTGTGTTGTTTTTATGTATCAAGTAAATACAAAATGGTTTAATTTTTAAAATATAAAAATCATGTTATTTTTGTGTATCAAGTAAATACAAATTTTGATACGTTAACGTAGTTTAATTTTTAAAATATAAAAAATGTAATTACATGTAAATACAAGATGGTTTAATTTTTGAAATATAAAAATTGTGGTATTTTTATGTATCAAGTAAATAGAAAATGGTTTAATTTTTAAAATATAAAAATCGTGTTATTTTAGTGTATCAAGTAAGTACAAATTTTGACACGTAGTTTAATTTTTAAAATATAAGAATTGTAATTACATTCAATGTTATTTTTATGTGCATGTATCATGTAAATAATGTAAATACAAAATGATTTAATTTTTAAAATATAAAAATTCTGATATTTTTATGTATCAAGTAAATACAACATGGATTAATTTTTAAAACATAAATCATGTTATTTTCATGTATCAGATAAATAACCACGTTGCCTGTCGAATACACTATTTGCCTTTAAACAATGCGCTTCACAGTAGTCATACCACATCACAAAATATTCAACCACGACAGAGTCCATTGGAGATATAATTATGAAGACATTGTCTTCAATGATGACACTGACATTTATTTTTTTCTCGCATTGGAGATGCTCTAAATGCTTCATACATACCGACGACATACCTATTCAAATTGTGATAAGATGCCATTTACTTACTTCAATAAATATTTTAAAAAATTCTCATTAGTTAAATGATACTCCAATTTTATCTCAATTTTTTCTTTTGATACCTAAAATTTTCACTTAATTGATTTTATACCCAATATTTTGTCCGCTAATCATTTTTTGTCCACACTATCAACTTCTCGTTAAAAAACGGACTGTATTAGAACCACTGTTTAAAGACATGCTGCCACCGAAAAAATAGTAGAAAATTTAAAAAAAAAAAATTATGCAAAAAATGACACTTCGAATTGAATCATATGAATTCAAAACATCAAATTAATTAAGGGGTATTGTGAAAAAAAAAAAAAAAGAGGAACAAAATGATAGCACAACCATCAAATTTGGGAATTAAGTGTTCATCTTTCTTTGTGTTTGCAACTAATCAGTGAAGTTAGCTCTGAATCGTTCTCGTCGTGTCCAAAATTACACTCAATAGTACATGGGCACCAAACGACGACTAATAGTTGCAACGGGTTAATATAATAACTCCTACTTTTTAATTATTTTTATTTAGAGGAAAGTGCAAATTTGGTCCCGTTAGATTGGGACGGTCGCAATTTTAGTCCCAACAGGCGCAATTTCAGTCCTTAACTAATTTTTGTTGCGTAATTGGTCCCAAATCTAACTGACCGTTAAGTCACCGTTAACTCTCAGGACTAAAATTGCAATTGTGGGACTAAATTTGCAATTTTCTCATATTTGATATATATAAAATAACTTTTCATTTTATTTTTATTTTTTATAATTTTTTTTCACCTCTAAAGTTATATTTTTATTTTTTATCAACCACTATAATCATAATAAAATTAAATGATGATTTTTAAAATATATTTATTATTTAATAAAAAATATTTGAAATATAGAAAACATTGTATTGCAATTAAAATTTTTAATATATTAATAATAATATAAATTTAAATTTATTTGATTTATATATATCAAATATATTTAAGTTTATATTTGTGTTATATAAAAAAACATATAAATATGAATTTACAAAATATATCAAATAATAAAATTGACCAGTCCGATCAACCAATTTATAATTATATATCAAATATATCCAAAATAAAAATATATAAATATGAATTTAAAATTATATATATATATATATTTGAATTTATATTATTATGTTTTCTGTATTTAAAATATTTTTAATTAAATAATAAATATATTTACAAATATATCCAAATTATATTTTTATTTTTTATCAACCAATATAATTATAATAATATTAAATAATTATTTTGTAAATATATTTATTATTTAATTAAAAATATTTTAAATACAGAAAACATAATAATATAAATTCAAATATATTTGAATTATATATTTGAATTATATAAATTCAAATATGTTTGAATTTAAACTTATATTTTTGTTATATTAAAAAATATAAATATTTATTAACTTATTTAAAATATATATATATATATATTATTGACCAGCCCATTCAACTAATTCTAACCGGTTCATCGGAAACCAATCCGTTTAAAGGAATCAAACCGTTTAGTTGACTGATTCTCGATTCAACAACAAGTTTGGTCGAACTTTCAAATCAATATTAGTTGGAATTACTTTTATTTTTATTTATAAATTTTATTAACCTCAATAAATTTAAATAATTATTATTTTTTAAATATATTTATTATTTAGTAAAAATTAATTTTAAATATAGAAAACATTGTATAGTAATTATTATTTTTTTATCTCAAAACTAAATTTTTACTATCAAATATTGTTATAAACTCACGGAATAAAAATTGCAACAAAAATTAATAATAAAACTTATTTTTAATATTTGGGACTAAATTTCCAACAAAACTAATCTTATGGGACTATATTTGCAATTTTTTCAATATTTGGGACTAATGACAAACGGTGACTTAACGGTCAGTTAGATTTGGGACCAACTACGCAACAAAAATTAGTTAAGGACTGAAAT